CCGTCTGGGGCACCAGCTGCCGCAGTCCACCTCAGGCTGCTCCTGCTCATAGGTCATGTGCTTCAGCCCCCTAATCATTTTGGTTGCCCTCCGCTGGACCCTCTCCAATGCCTCCACATCCTTTCTATAATGGGGGTGGCCCAGAACTGGACACCATACTCCAGGTGTGGCCTCACCAGAGCTGAATAAAGGGGAATAATCACTTCTCTGGATCTGCTAGCAATGCTTCTCCTAATGCACCCTAATAAGCCATTAGCCTTCTTGGCTACAATCTTTTAATCTGTCCAGGTCATTCTGGACCCTCTCCCTGCCCTCCAGCATATCTAAATCTCCCCCTAGTTTAGTGTCATCTGCGAATTTGCTGAGGATGTAATCCATCTCCTCATCCAGGTCATTAATAAAGATAGTGAAGAAAACTAGTCCTAGAACAGATCCATGGGGTACTCCACTAGAAACCGACTGCCAATTTGACATCGAGCCATTGAACACTACCCATTGGGCCCAAAAGTCTAGCCAGTTTTCTATCCATCTTACAGTCCATGTATCCAATCCATATTCCCTTAACTTGCTGGGAAGAATATTGTGGGAGACCGTATCAAAAGCTTTGCTAAAGTCAAGGTATATCATATTCACTGATTTTCCCATATCCACAGAGCCTGTTACCTCATCATAGAAGCTAATGAGATTGGTCAGGCACGACTTCCCATGTTAACTATTCCTGATCACTTTCCCCTTTTCCATGTGCTTCAAAATGGATTCCTTGAGGATCCCCTCCATGATTTTCTCCAAGACATTTCCACTGTAAGCAGATTATTGTTAATTATTATTCCACGTGTAAGGGTTAACACAGCATGAAAACTTCAAGGGACTTCACTGGTGACATAGTGCCTAATTCATGGCTTTCACTTTTGAAGCCAATAGGCTCTTTTTAGCTGCAATGGTGGTTTCTGTTATAATTAATCAATTGTACATTATGAACGTGTTGCTCTCCTTTGGAAATAGCCTTGTTGTTGCCTCTGAGTATCACAGCATATTAGTTGCAATACATTTAATCAATGTAAGAAGAAGAACACCAAGAGCCACAGTAAAAAAAATTTCCGCTTATTCAGCTATGACAGCAAATCAAGATCTTCCTGCTGTAGAGGCATAACATTCTGAAAACCCACTAGAAATATGCTGTATGTGATACCTGGTATAGAATAGATTTGCGGGTTGTTAGATTATTTTCCACTCTTCATCTGCTACCCGCTTAACAGGGATATTCATGTTCAGAGGGTATATTTCATTCATTTCTGATGCATATTCAGATACTTGAATGGAATGGGGACTCTAAAGGTTGGTTGGTTGGTTTTTGCTCAGTAAAACTGTTTCCCGTAAGAAGATAGGGACTCTAAAGGGTTGGTTGGTTGGTTGGTTGGTTTTTGCTCAGTAAAACTGTTTCCCGTAAGAAGATTATTTTTCTACTGACAGTTACACCAGTACAAAATCCACATGTAGACTATAGTTCCTTTGCACAGTTTTCTAAAGGGACGGAGGCCTTTAAAGTGGGGACAAAATGCCATTTGGGACCTTAGTGTAAGTGAGAAACAGGCCATTGGTTTCAGTAGGGAAGTATTGCCTTTCTACAGAATTTTTCAACAATCCAGTCAACGTCCATAGAACATAGGAACAAATGTGAGTGAAGTGCTCCACTCCTGTTGATTTTTCTGTGGGAGTTGGATTCTTTCCCAGCTATTCAGCCTGAATTGTCCTTTCTTATTTTCTTCTCATTGGTCCTACACATATCCACCATAAATACATTTTCTCCAACTTCTGTGGTTCCCCCTTGGGTATTTACAGGAAGAAATGGCCCACCACAGTGCTTCCTTAGCCAAGAATGTGCTAACATGAAGACACATGAAGACATCTGCTGGTAGAAATATTCTAGTAGGCATCTGAGTACAACCTGCCTTCCTAATTATTACATGTCATTTTTAATTGTATGACTGAAAATATCAAATCAGACTACCTCCGATGACATGTTGTGACTGAAACAACTCTCAGTCATTCACAATGGGACGTGTTGCCCGGAAATTGAAATATTTGTTCTTATTTGACACAAATTGTAATTACTTCTCTAAAGAACCTGAAGGTCCCCCTCAGCAATCACACTTTTCTTTCTAATTAGTATCATGGTTTCCGCTGAAAATGGTTGGTATGGGTGTTCATTATCCCAATCATTTCTGTTGCAATTGTCAGAGATTTCAGGCAGCTGAGCAGAAGAAAATCCTGTTGTGCAAATAGTAGCTTGTAACCTCAGAAATTTCTCAAATGTGGGCCAAATTTTCTGTGGACGTAAACAGGAGAAACTCGATTTAAGTTAACAAAAGTATCCTCACTTACATCAGGAGAGAATTTAGCCCTCATGTATTTTAAATAGAGGCAGTTAAAGCTGCATATCAAACCAGACTTCAGCTGCATTAAAGCTATGTGACTCCATTAACTTCCCTGGAGAGAGCTGGATTTACATTAGCTGACTATTTCAATGGATAAGTTGTTGTAACATTTTGATTTTCTTGTAAGGTCCAGTATTGCCAACCCTATGTGTTCCAAAATCATGTCAGGTGCTCCAAAATCAAGAGATTTATTATTATTTTTAAATTAGTTCTTTTATTTGACTTTTAGTTTTTGAACCATTTAGAATCAGACTTGTTTCTGAAAGCAGGAGGGCTAGAGACTTACTCTTTTTTTTTTTTTTTAAATGAAAGGTGAGGTTTTTCATATAATTACTAGGCAACACTCTAAAGTGGACTAGAAGTTGATACACCCCTTAGGCTATGTCTAGACTTCATCCCTCTGTCGACAGAGGGATGCAAATCAAGCACATCGAAATTGCAAATGAAGCCGGGATTTAAATATCCTGCACCTCATTAGCATAAACATGGCCACCACTTTTTTTCGAAATGGAGGGGTTTTTTTAAGGAAAAAAAAGGCAGTCTAGAGGTGGATCTGTCTAAAATAAACCCTTTTCAACAGATCCTGTATTCCTCAAAAAATGAAGTTTACAGGATCTGTCGAAAAAGGGTTTATTTTCGACAGATCCACCTCTAGACTGCCAGTTTTTTTAGAAAAAACTCCATTTTGAAAAAAAGCAGTGGGCATGTTTATGTTAATGAGGCATGGGATATTTAAATCCCAGCTTCATTAGCAATTTTGATGTGCCTAAACTACATCTCTTTATCGACAGAGAGGTGTAGTCTAGACACACCCTTAGATGTTGCCAC